CAAGCTTCCAGGTGATAAATGTGCATTAGGGAAAAGCCAAGGGAGTTTTGGAAAACAGAATAGAATGATGGGGGCAGGTCTTGATCTCTAGGAAAATGAGCAGTAGTTCTGATTTTCAGCTTGTGGCCCAATTTTTAGTTTGATGTCCTACAATGAAAAGGAAAATATAAACCCCTCTTCTCACCATGATTTGTAGGCTTGTAAGTCAAGCACAACTACCTAAAGTTCCCATTAGGAAAGCACTTTGGGAGAGATGTTTGAAAGAAAGGTCTTACTTATGGCAGGTTTGCAAATGTCGTATGTCATGATTTTTTTAAAACAAAACAAAACAAACAAAAAAAAACAAACAAAAAAATGTTGGTCTTGTATGATTCTAAAAACAGTCTTGCATAATATCCCAGTGCCAAATGGGGCCTACTCTACAATCCTGTATCATTTTGGCCCTGTCAAGTGGTGAATTCTACCTTTAGTAAAGACAGAGGAGCCGCCAGCCTAGAAGTGCGGAGATCTGGATTCTAGTCTTCTTCCAATAACTCATTATCTCTGCTTGAACAGTTCATTTGACTGGCTACACCTCTGTTTTCTCACCTGTGGAACAGGTATTCTGTGAAAGCTAAGGGAATATTATTATGTGTGTGAAGACCTACTATGACCGTAGTTACTTGGGCAGCAGTCAGCTCACACATTCTCTGGACTTTGGTTTTCTCTTGGTATCGTGTGGTGCTACCCAGATCTCTGATTTCCTTCCAACTCTGACATTTGCATGACTATAATTTCCTTCTGAAAACTTTTCCCAGACTGCAGTAAATGCTTCCTATTTGCATGAGAGCAAAGATGCCCCTTTGTCTTGAGTTATGGACCTTACAACCCCTACTCAGCTTCTAAAAATTCTTCATAGAGGAGATCAGAATGGTCCAGAGCTGAACTTCGGAGTGGCCCATCTGTACCCACTGACAACACACAGACACGCCTCCACACCGTCCACACGCTGACACACACATAAATGAAATTCGTGCACTACCTTCCCCAGGGCTAACCAGGAGACATTTACCTGAGTTCACTTGGACCAAACAAAGGAGAACAGCAAAAAGAAAGAGGACCTTCATGTTTTAAGGTTCCCTCAGACTTCCTTGCCCTCCTGTGCAGAAGCAAATATGATGAATGATGGAAGGAAGTGGGTGGAGAAGGCACAAAATGAAACATTTATAGGTTTTGGAGAACACTAATCAGGAACGAGCATTTTTATCTGCTCTACTGAGTAAGGCTGTGGGCAGAAGGTACTGGGTACTCTTCCCTTTCTGCCTAAAAATAGACAGGCTTCTTGGTATTCAGGAAAGCAGGGATTGACCAATAACTCAGTCTGTGGAGGCTGAAGGGGAAAGAGAACCAACGTCGAGAAGTGCTACTTAGAACCAGGTACTGTGCCAGGTTATGGAGACAGAGTTGTGTAAAGTCATGTTCTCTGTCTTTAAAAAGCTTTCAGCTGGCCAGTATCCACCACAGTTGCATATATGAACAGTCTGTGACCCAGCAATATCACTCCCAAGTGTACACCCAGCAGAAACACAGGCCCACGTGCACCGAGAGACATGTACAAGAAGGTTCATTGTAGCATCATTCATTATAGTTAACAGAACACATCCCGAATCGTGTATTGTGACAGTAATAAAACAAATAATGTATTCCCACACAGCAATAAAAACAGAAAAACAACAATTATAGATTTATACAACAACAGGGATGGACCTCACAAACATTATGATGAGAAGTGGAGGGGGGAGGCCATATACAACACGCTGTATTATTTCAAAAATTTGGCAAAACTTATCTATATATTAAAAATCAGGATATTGTCTACTTTGGGGGAAGAGGGCAGAGTCTCCTCTCATTTGACAAGGTTTTCCTTTCTTGAGGAGGTGGCAGTCTAGTAGGGGACAAAGGGAGCCCCTAGCACCACAGGCTGTGATGGCCTGAGCTGGGGCTTTGCAGGGCTGTGTGG